TCTACAATTAATAAATAAAATCTTAAGGAAGCTGGGGGTCAACAAATTAACCACAAATTAACCACCAGATTTAACTGAATTTTTTAGATATATCTTAAGCTGTCAACTATCATTTGGCAAAGAAAAATTTCAAAAATTTTAGTTTTAAATTTTGATCATTTTCTATATCTTCATATGGAGCTCTTCTTCTAAAGGAGATCAATATAGTCTAAGAATGGCCACAACCCCCAACCTCTTTAAATAATATTTACGATTCTCTCGGGATCCTGGTTTTCCATATTGGGTCAATGGTTTGGATCCAGTAATTTATTAAAGATAATAATTATGGCATGTTACTTTTCGGTATGGGCTGGGGATGATAAGTCACGGTTGGGTCCAAAACAGCTGTTTATATACCTTTTGATCACTAGGGCCGAATGTGTCTTCGCGCGAATTGAGCAATACCGCTCTGTGTAGCGCCATTTTTGGAGGCGAAGAACGTTCGGCCTAGCTTTGTAATTAAATGTAATTGGGTTTGTTATGAGGGGATTATCTTAGGGAACTGTAAGGAAAAGACTTAGGAAATGATGCCATAGATAATAAAGGTAAAGATTGGGGTTTATGAGGTTCTCACATATATTTATGTATATGATTTGAATGTTGTTATAGAGGAAATTCGGATAACCCTACGATTATACATACAAACATGTTTACACAATGGTATTAACGATAGTATGGTGATATTTACACATCGGACATACAAAGAAATGAGATAATACAATATTGATTACACAATATATAGTTATAAGGATGACTATAACATGACTGAGGTGGTATAAACGTAAGAAGTACCCAAAGTGTATGCCTTATGAAATTTGATTACAAGTGGATATTTAGTGAAAATGAGTCACAAATGAATCCCTCAAATTACATGTATATTTATTTCTAAAATTATTATTTATTCATGACAGAATTTAAGCGAAGCGGGAATTTTTAGCTATTATATGCATTTTCGGCAAAACTGAGTATTTCCGAAACAGCTTAAACTAGCTCCCAGCAATTTTCAGGAAGCCGATGTAAATTTGTTTTAATATGTATCAATTTTTTCCCCTCTAAAATCATGCGCATGCCCTTGCACTAGCATCATTTTTTACATTCAGCTGAACAATTCTATTTTTATACCAGTCACGTGACACACAGCTGATACATGCGATGTAACTGGTAATGAGTATGCCACAAACCTATCCACTATGTTATCTATATTACCTTTCCTACATGTTTACAGTTACTTTATATTACAAAGATTTTTAAAAATAATACGCATTAAGCAGGTTGGGAACAATTCCCCTGTAGAGAGATCATCTCGCTAGAGCGCGATTATCCCTCTTTAGCGGAAGAATAAACATTACCATAAACTGATGTTTTCTTGTTTTCATCATAAAATAATCAAAAATCTCGTGCTTTTTGAAAGTCCGGGAGAAGGCTGCATTGAAGCGTGAATTTACTATAAGAAACTGACAACATGGGCTAGAAATTTAAGACAATCACTGCTGCATGTGAGAATAGGAGGCTGAAATCCATGTGTAAATCGTGCATTTTTTTGCAAAGGTTTTAAAATTTACAGTTATATATGTTTTTGAAGCATATAAAATATGTATAGATATCCAAATTATATTCGTTAAGGTTTTAGCTTTCCATTCTTGTACAGAAGGTAAAAATCACTTTCTCCAGAAACCCATGACAATTGCTTAAATGTTTGATCTTTGATGGACGCTAAGAAGTACGGAAGCGCAACAGGGTTGTAACATTTGTTGAAAAGTCATGATTAAAAAACACAACTATACATTTATACATTGACATATATAGAAGGTGAATAAACCATTAATTAATTAAATAGAATATTGAAAACAAATCAATAAAAAAAGGTTTAAATTGAGTCTAACCGATATTGACATAGTAAAAATGTTGATATATGGTAACCTTGGACTTTCAGCAAGGCGTGATTACCGTCTGTCAAATGGTGATCTAGATTTTTCATTGGTTGCCTTAGCTCATCAATATTCATAAGAACATAATCAAGCATAACTGATAAAGGGCACAAAACATGTTAGTTTGAATTATTTTTTATAACTATACAGAAATTCAAATCGAGAAAACAAAAATGCGAAAATGTTGAGGGATCACTGCTGTCAACGTGTTGTGATAGTTTGAAGAAGTAGGCCCTAAGTGTTCGTATTTCAATGACATAAATTCTTAATGTTTTTTCCCCGTGGCAATGAACAGTTCTTCGTTTGAGGACACTTGCGCTGGAAACATGTTGGGATCCTGCATAACAGGTGTAAATTTTAATAGGGCATCAGATACTTTCCAAAACTTAGGTTACTTAGAAGAACCCAGACCCGTAGCACTTTTATTAAAAAAGGGGGGCGTCTGAAAAATTTGACCCCCCCCCAAAAAAAAAAATAACTGCCTAAAGGAATAAACGCTTTTAAAGATACGCTTTATTCAGAAAGAAGATCTACTATTACGCTACATGAAATACTTCGAAATTAACGTTTTATTATTCCTACAGTGAAAAATTGCAATGATATTTTTATTCAGTTAACAATAGGTGCTACTGTCACGTATAAGCGATGATTTACAGTTTATAAATGACTTCCTAGTCATAGTTGAAGTTCACCGATAAGACTATTAATTAAATTGGTTGTGAATTGAAAAAAAATGTTAATACATATAATGTTGATAGCTTTTAACCACGCCTCTTTTGAACCTCGGTATAGATCTAAAGAAATCTATCCGCACGACCTACCTATTGTATTTGTTCCTATTCACACATCCCCCCCCCCCCCCCCCCATCTACCGTCTCTCGCCGTCAAAAATTTGAGATGTTTTCCAGTTTAACTTGTACAGTCATATTTTGAGACCAATGCAATAGAATATGATCAAATCGAATTTTTTTGAGAGTTGGTAAATTTAAGCAGGACGAAAATAATATATAGAAGATCCTGCAAGCACTGACGAATGTAGCAATGAACCAATGAGTGCGTTTCTTACAGTAAGAAGGTGGGGCTTAATTCAGTAAACCAGGCGATTTGAGAATCCATAGACCATCAATTGACAAACTACGTGTCGAAATTGTCATGCCCTACGGAAAGTTCAAAGTGACGGACACCCCATCACTATATATACTCTCCGCTTTTCAAGCGGGAGTATTAAAAAAATAAGACGAAAGATATAAGCACAACTGCAATAAGTAAGTTTACTCGTACTGATATTTATCACTTGTGGCCGTCCGTAGAAAGGCTACACTATTGTGCATGATCTTATTCAAATTTCCAAGGTATGCAGCAGTAGAGGCAATATTTTGAAGCAAGTTTATCGAGATGAGACAATAGATATTTAACAAATGGGTAGACATACTTCCGGATTTTCCTTTTACTGTAGTTAACACGTTTAAAGTTGGAATCGGAGTATAAATCTCGGGTTTCCGAGATGTATTTTCTCCCGCTAGAGAGGGATAATCGCGCTTTAGCGAGATGATCTCTTTTCAGGGGAATTGTTCCCAACCTGTTAAGAATGTACTAAGATCGCATTTTCCATTTCCTTCCTTAACATAGCTGAGTCACGAACTTCCGATCACGGAGCGAGCGCTCTGTCGATTGTTTCCCAAATAATATCACTTTGCGATTGAGTGCTTTCACTTCTCTATACTACCAACATATGATGTCATAATGGAATATGACGTTAAGCCACTGCAAACGTGAGCTTTCATGAGAATTAGTGTCATAAACTTTACACATTATTTCCAAATGTATGTTAAATAAACGCTGTTGCTAAATTCTTAATTGTAAAATCAACGGTGTTGTTACCTATCCGAATGATTTTTAAAAAATACTTCGTTTCATTACTCTTGATTGAAATTCAGTGTTCAAAATTTTTTTTTTAAATGCACACTACACATCGTAACATGTCTTTGACACTTAACTCTATTGCATGTCTTACAAACACAGCAAAAGGACAAAAATTTAGTGGAAATGAGTCAATTGACATGAAGTTGAACTTCATGATCTATCAGACATTCCAAAAATTGGAACATTGCATGCAAAGCAAAATAAAAGAGTCGGGAAATACTTTTTCAAAGTTGAAGGACAATAATCTTTGTGAAAATGGATCAATTGAAATGAAACTGGAACTTGATCTGAATGTTATTATTATAAGGAAATATTCCTTAAACCAGCTCAATATCTACAAGCACACCCAAAAAAGTCCAGAAAATTTACTAAACGGAATGACAGGTGAGAAGAGGTAGAGCTCTATGCTGCAAATATTTAATGGTGGGGATAAAAAATGAGCTATAAAAATAAAAATGTATAAACCATCTTTCCCTTAGAAGATAATTCGGAATCCCTCCTGGTGTATATAAATACAGCCTTTTGATGCGGTCAATGCCTAGGAAGCTTTCTCTAAGGTCTATATATCTAGGGATTGTACCGAATCAAAAGGCTATATTTGTTTTATTATTTTTTATATCAATTAGTATCACTCTTTAGAAACATCAAGGTCATAAAAACTATTTTGATGTCATCACTTTTGTTGCTTCAGAGAAGAACTTGTCCAATTTTAAAAACACCAGGTTTATAAGCTTGTTTTAGAAGTTTAAACTATAAACACCCATTTTATAAGATGTCTCTACTTGATTGATTGATTGAATATTGTTTTAGTCCCATTCGAGAATTTTTCACTCATATAGAGACGTCACCATATACCGGTGAAGGGCTTCAAATTTTGACCTTTCCTCGGCACTCAGAGCCATTGAGCAGTGAGGGATCTTTATCGTGCCAACGCCTGCCGTGACAATGGGCTCGGTTTTTAAGGTCTTCATCCGAAGGACCCGCAACTTTCACTTCAAAGTGCCGAGCGCATGGCGAAGGAACAGTTACTACCTATTTTTTTTCGACTTCGAGCCTATGAGATAGCTGGGAACAACAGAGAAAAATAATAAATATATATAGATGATGTAGCTAGTGGCGCTTGATCAGCATCAGCGTCCCCCTAACATCTTCCCCAGTCATAAAGGTAGGATACCACGGTCTACTCCAGCTCTGTGAGGACCAGACGCCATTCAGGTAGGCGTAGTGACAGTAATAAAACCACCATCCTCCCATGAATTCCTCGGCACATCCTACAGTACGTGGACTCCTGTCGTGGTCCCTGTCTGGGGTACTGAAGAATATCCCAGATAAAGACATGTATGGATCTCCGGGGTTAAACATCATGTCACCTAAAGAAGTAAACAATAAGTATGACAACTGAATTAAGATCAATTCATTAGTGATGTACATGCACATTAGTACTTGATGGAAAGACAATGTAAAACAATTATACTTATAAGATACCCTATTTCATCTCATAATTATTACTTCAAGTTGTTAACAATATTGAAATGTAATGAAAATTTATGAGAAAATATAAAAAAGAACTTGTAAATCGTGGATAATAATAATCAGTTACCGATTGGGTGTATATATATATATATATATATATATATATATATATATATATATATATATATATATATATATATATATATATATATATATATATATATATATCATGCACTAGAATAAAAATTAATATAAGCTCTAAAAAAAATAAATATTGAAATCAATCTGTAAGCTTTAAAGTCCTGTAAATGCATATAAAATCATGCTATACAGGAATGAAATGTTTTTGAAACACATAAACCGTTTCTAAAGGGCATTATCAGAGCTTTTTGTCAGCAGTTGGATTTATACTTTCAGTCACCCTTTTCTGGAATACCGCCACCTGCAGACTTAAATATTTATGTGTTAAAACAGTTCTTAGACTAATATCAATACATGTAACATGTTACTATGATCGCCTGTTTTCGGAAATGCCGAAATATAGTCCTTGATATAAAATTTGGGGAGGAAAATAAAACTTCTGAAAGTCCTGAGTATAAGATTTAACGATAACTGATTCCATATTCAGAGAAAAAATGGTGCCCGCCTTTTTCTTCAACTAAGCCGAAGGCTCAAGTGAGCTTTTCTGATTGAAGGTGCCAAGCGTCCGTCTGTTATGTGACGTCTGCAAACTTTTCAAATTTTTGACTTCTTCTCAAGAACCACTAGGCAAACTTCAAGCAGACTTGTCGCAAAGCATTCTTGGGTGAAGGGGATTTAAGTTTGTTCAAATAAAGTACCGCGCCTTCTTTTAAGAGGAAAGAATTAAGAATTAGTAAAAATGTAATGACATATTTTAAAAAAATCTTCTCAATAACCACTGGACCAGAAAAGATGAAACTTATGTGAAAGCCTTATTACGTAGTGCAGATTCAAATTTGTTCAAGTCATGATCCCCGGGGTAGGGCGGGACCACAACTGACGATCAGAGTTTTACATAGGATTATATAGGAAGAATCTTTAAAAGTCTTCTGCTCAAAAACAGGATGATGTCATATTTATATGGAAGCATCCTAAAGTAGTGTAGAATCAAATATGTTTAAATCATGACCCTCAGGGGTAGGGTGTGGCCACAGTAGCCGACCACTGTTTTACATAGGAAAGCATAAGGAAAAAACTATAAATGTCATCTTTTCAAGAATAGCAAAGCCATGATTAGTAATGTTTATATGAAAGCATCCTCAGGTAGTGTAGATTTAAGTTTGTTAAAATCATGATGCCCTCCTCTGTCCCGTCAAGGGGGGGGGGGGCACTTATATAGGTATTTTCAATAACGAACTGATTTCTCCCTTTCTCAAGACGTAGCGCTCAGATGAGCGATGTATCTAATGGGCCTCTTTTTATTTCTTAAAGAACGATCTTTTGTCTTATTAAAAGAGACTACCAGTTAAGCTTAGCACTTTTCAGTGCTGTTGAGTTATGTAGGGCACATTCTAGAGTTTTGTGATAAATTTACCAAATAGACAACACCGAACCCGAACTTACAATCTGGCCTTGTTATTAAGATTAATATCGTACATTTCGCACTGACACTAAGCCTTGGAGAGCCTTATAAACAGATGTAGCTTTCCCCTCTTATATTTACATTCTACCTGTTACACGTACGTACCTAAGGTTCCTGTGGCAGGTCCAGCCAGAAAAAGTTTATACTTCTCTGCCTCATTAGAAACAGAAAATCCATTGTATAACTCGAATAATTTTGTGCCATTCCTTAGTGTGATGGCTACATAAAGGAATGAGTTCTTTCCCTTTGTTAGCTGATGGATTACGTCATTTCCTGCATTAAAGTATATTTCATTTTGGTTAATTGTCCGTATGGAACATTTTTTTTTAATTATGGTCAATGCATATAGTAAATGAATATCGTAATATATATTATGAAGTCTTTATTTCAGACTTTGTGTCTAAATTTAATATGTCAAGACAAAGATCATTCGTTAAACTCGGCTAGCTCAGACTTGGTTCGGCTGGAGATTTAGACTGAAGCCCTTCAATCTATAGTGAAATATATGGAGATAACGAACAGTATTCAAGCTCAAAAGTCGATTTAATATTACAAAATAGGAGCAGAGCAAACACGGACCTCCAAAACATCAGAGGTGGGATCAGGTGCCATGGGGGAGTGAGCATCCCCTGCCGACCGGTCACACCCGCCGTTTGCTCCTTGTCATGATCGGGAAATAACGGGAAAATCCTTCGACAATTCAGCGTGTAAATAATGGCCTAACAATAAGTATGAAAAACGTTAGTCAGCATTTGACTCGATGATAAATTGTATTTGCTGACAAGGTCATTGTATCGACCATAGACTGCTGATATTCTTGTTTCATCAACTTGTTTGTCAATGGTTTACCTCTTTTTAGAAATAGTACATACATAGAGCAGGCTCTTGCCTATCGAATCAACTGAGAGATATAAACTCCGTATGCAGGTAATGAAGGTATATTGCTGCATAAGTAAGGTAAGTTGACGATTGAAAAGTTAAAGTCGTCACGTTTATCATAAAGCTTGGTTGGTAGATTACCATTAACGTCTTTTTCAAGTAAAATATCCAAATATGAAACAGATGTGTCAGACTCTGTGGTATCTTTTATCTCAAGCTCACCGAGATTTATAGTATCGACGTAAGAATGGAAATAACCATTGTTAATTGACAATACGTCGTCGATATATCTAAATGTCGAGTTGAAGGCAACAGCAAGTGTTTTTCTTCTTTTCACGTATTTAAGAAATAAGGTATCATTTTTAAACATCTATCGGGATATAAATACGGGTTGGTCACGAGATCAAATTCCATAAAGCCCGAAGGGCTTTATGGTAAATTTGATCTCGTACCAACCCGTATTTATATCCCGATAGATGTTTTAAAATGATACCTTATTACTTATATTTACATTTGTGACTTATTCATATTATATATCAGCCTGATTATAACCTTTAACGCGTGAAATGTTTTATTTTTTCAAACTCAACGACACGAGTTTGATCTATTGATTGCGCGTCGACCGTTTATGACGTCACTGAGAAATTACGTCGAACGTTTATGACGCGAAGAACCTGTGTTTATACGGATATAGATACGCGTTGCTTTCAATAGTGTTATATAAAAGAAAACATTTGCAAATGTAAATATAAGATTTTGGACAAATTCTGCTTCATATGAATACAAAAAAAGGTCAGCTAATAACGGGGCGCAATTGGTACCCATGGGAATTCCAATAGATTGTTGGAAGACCTGGTCTCCAAAAACCACATAGATATTGTCAATCAGAAACTCAAGCATCTTTTTAATGTCAACTTCAGAGTACTTGTGTGTACAATCAGAATGTTTTTTAACAAAATAATTTTGCAAATGACCAATGACAAGGTAAGTAAATTTACGAGTTCCATTTTTATTGAAAAAGCAGCTGTCAATGATATCAAAAGCCTGGACTTTAATTTATCGTGGGGAATGGTTGTGTATAAAGTTGAAAAGTCGTACGTTTTTAAGCTGTTGATTTTGGTAAAATCTTGTGATTTCAAATTTTCCAAAAGTTCCTTGGAATTTTTAAGTATCCACATCTGATTTACACCACTTCTCGAATATATTGTTGCACAGTACTCTTGAAGTTTCTCCTTCACTAATGTTAATATCTTAGTGAGGAGTAAAGAATGAGGCTTGGTTGAACATTTACTGGAACCCGCTATGTATCTTTGTTTGTGAGGATTTTTATGAAGTTTCGGAATCCAATATAGATATGATAATTCAAATTCATTTTGGTTGTTTGGAATATTAAAAATATCCAAAACTGACATATGATTTTGAAGAATTTCTTCCTTAGAAAGGGAACTATGAGTATAAATTGGATTACCACTAGCAGAATTAAATCCATGTTCCTCTAAAATCATTTAACATAATGAGGTATATTCATCTCAAAATAAAACAATTATTAGATTTCCTGTTTTATTGCTCCCATGACGTAATTGCCTAATTAGGAAGAGTTTTTTAATAATCTGTCTTAAATAATGTATGCCATATATGGCGTGTAAAATGTTGCATTATTATACAAGTGTTGTTATTTAATTAAACTAAATACGTATTATTATTCATATGATTCATATTCGAGAGCTAATTATTCATATTCATAATCTTGTCTCTCATATTTTAAATCTTGTGATTCATATTCGAAAATTGTTTTTCATATTCGTAAATTTGATTTATATGCTGAATCTTGTGATTTTTGTGCGAGAAGGTGATGTTCATATTCAAACCCGTTTTATGTCTATGCAAACACTTTTGATTTACTATTATATTCGATAATCTTGTGATTTATATGCAAAATTGGATATTTGTCATTCATATGCAAGTTTTGAGATTCATATACACTAAAATTGTGATTTGTATGCAAATTTATTGAAATGCATATTAAAAAACTTATTTATGCAAAAAACTGTTATTCATATTCGATAATCTAATGATTTGTGTCACAAAAAAAATAACAAGATTTCACATATTTATCACAATTGCATATTAATCACAAGATTTTCAAATATGAGTCACAAGTTTCTGCATATAAAGAATACGCTACAGACATGAATAACAACTTTCAGAGTGGATGTCACAAAACTTCACAAACAAATAACAAGATTTCACATATGAATCACAATATCATCGCACATAAATCACAAGATTATAGAATGTGAATCATAACATTATCGAAAATGAATTAGACGTTTTGCTTATAAATAAGATTTTTTTTAGATATGAATATCAACTAATCGCATATATATTACAAAATTATCGCATATAAATAGCAAGTTTATGCATATATATATATATTGTAGGTTTTCAAATACTGAAGTCAAATTTTTTGCATATGAATAACAAAATAATTGCATAAATAACAAGATAATCACATTTATATAACAAGTTTATCGCACATAAATAACAAGATTATTGCATATAAATCACAAGATTATCGGATATAATTCACAAGATTATCGAAAATGAAGATCAAGTTTTCCAATATGAATAGCAAGTTTTCCAGTACGAATATTAAAATTTTGACCATAAATCATAAGGGTTTTTTTTTTTTCAAATATAACGCAAGTTTCGCACAATAATGTAATATTTAACATGTCATATTCATACTTATAATAGGTATGTACATGTATATGCCCATGTAGTACATAGACACAGATAAGAAAGTATTATTTAAATATTTATATCTGTTTCGTATTTGGATATTTTACTAGTAAAAGCAATTAATGGCAATCTAACAACAAAATTCTACCATAATCCTGATGATTTCTACTTTTCTATTGTCAACTTCCCTTAATTATGCAGCAATATACCATTATCACCTGCATATGGAGTATGTCTCTTAACTGATTCGATATGCAAGAACATGCTCTACGAATGAACAATTTCGACAACAAGGTAAGCTATTGAAAAATAAGTCGATGATGCAAGGATATCAACAGTCCCGTCAAAAGTCAACATTTCGCAAATTCTATGGTCGATACAATGACCTTGATAGCTAATACAATCTACCGTTTAATCAAATAATGCCTGACATTTTTCATAAACATAGTAAGGCCATTATTTTCACCCTGAAATTGTCTACAGAATTTTCATTTGCCCGATCATGACAAGGAGCACACGACGGCTGTGACCGGTTCACAGGGGGTGCTTACTCCTCCATGACATCTGATCCCACCTCTGATGTTTTTAGAGGTCCGTATTTGCTCTGGTCCCTATTTGATTTGTTCCCATGGGCTTATGACCTTGATTACTGTTTCTTCATATTTCATAAGATGTATTGACGAATCAAATGAATATTGTTTATTGATAAAACGTCGTCTATATATCTAAATCTCGAATTGAAGGCCATAGCAATAGACTTCTTTTCGTGTAAAAGTTTTTTAATAAATTCATATGAATACAAAAACAGGTCTGCTAATAACAGGGAGCAATTAGTACCCATGGTAATTTCAACAGATTGTTAGAAGACTTGATTTCCAAAAATTAAAAAGATATTGTCAATCAGGAACTAAATGTCGAATTGAAGGCCACATCAAGAGACTTCTTCTTTTCATTGATTGATTGTATGTTAAACGTCCCGTTCGAGAAATTTTTACTCATATTAAAAACATCACCATACACCGGTGAAAGGTCTCAAAATTAGACCTTCACTCGTCACTCAGGGCCATTGAGCAGTGAGGGGTCTTTATCGAGTCCACGCCTGTCGTGAAACGGGGCATCGGTTTCTAAGGTCTTATCCGATGGACTCACATCTTTCACTTCAAATTGCCAAGTGTTTGGCAAGGGAACAGTTACTACCTATTTTTTTTTTTATCGACTTAGGTCAGTCGTGGCCGGGGTTTAAACTCATAACATTTCGATCAGGGGGCGAGTGCTCTACCGACTGAGTTACATTGACGTCTTTTTATATAGAAGTTTCTGATCAAAATCTGCTTCATATGAATACAAAAATAAGTTTGCTAATAACAGACCACAATTAGTACCCATGGGAATTCCAATAGTTTGTTGGAAGACTTGATCTCTAAATATACATAAATAAGGACAATCAAAAACTGATGCACCTTTTTAATATTACCTTTGGAGTACTTGTGTGTACAATCAGAGTGTTTTTTAACAAAATAATTTTGCAGATATCTTACGACAAGGTAAGAGTTCCATATTTATTGAAAAGCAGCTATGATGTTAAAAAGTTTGGCCTTTAATTTAACGTGGGAATGGTTATATAAATGTTGAAAAGTCGTACGTTTTGATGCTATTTTGGTAAAATGTTTTGATTTCAATTTAAAAAAAAATCTTTGGAGATTTTAAATTTCCAAATCTGATTAGACTGCTTCTCGAATATGATGTTGTACATTATTACTAAAGTTTTTCCTTCACTGCTTGTAATATTTTGGTGATGAGTAAAGAAAGGGGCTTGGTAGAACATTTACTGTAACCCGCTTTGTTTCTTTGTTTGTAAGGATTGTAAGGATCAAGTATAGGTGTGGTACTTCAATTCGATTGTTGGGAATACTTAAAATATTTTAAACTGACATATGATTTTGAAGAATTTCCTCCTTAGAAAGGAACTATTTGTATAAGTTGGATTAACACTAGCAGAGTTAAATCACAGTTCCTCTAGATCTAAAATACAATTAAAATAATGAGACTTGCAAACAAAGACAATGTTGTTACCTTCTTTGTCAGCTGGGACCAGTACATATTGATTGTGTAATCTATCTTAATCACTTTTCACATCTGATTATTGAAGACAGAAGAATAAATAGTTTTCATGTTGTCCCTCATGCTTTTAATGCGATATTTCAGATAATTTATCACTTGACGATTTTTTTTAAGCATTTGTAATTTAAGCTTACGTATGGACCGGTGACTGGTAAACAGTTTAAGAGTACTTTTTATCAAAACATACAAAAAATCTTGCAATAAGTCTAAATTGTGCAATTTTGTGCAACAACAATTAAACATCGAACACCAAAAGAAATATCAAATAATCAAAGTACGCACACATATACACTAGACAAAATTAATATTTCATTTTTCAAAACTTGTTTATGATGTATTTGATCCAAAGATATGTTACTTAAGAAAAAAAATGAGGCATCAAAATGTCTTAACTGATAAATAAAGTTCTACATTGTTAATTAAAGTGTAAACATTTCATAGCAAAATCGTGCCCATGCTTATTTTGGAGGAATAATTTTCTTTTTTTTCTTTGTGTTTGTGATTTTTATGTCTGTACCAATACGTTCTATTTCCATTAGTGAACTCTTCAAAATTAGAGGCGCGTTTGGTCGTCTGACAGGGACAGCATGGCGTTGCGAATAATACAAAACATGCCAATCCCAATCCAATTTTTAATGTTAAATGTATTTGTCATTCCAATTAAAGAATAGAAGAACTAAAAGACATATGTAAGAGAGCGAGAACCCTAAATTTATCATCCATTAATAAAAAATACGACATTTCCGAGGCATGTGTATTGTATTTAGATGTACCATACGATAAATAGATACATACGATCAACAATAGATATAAATTGATATCGTTGTGATTCCTACTCTTGATGTATATAAAGTCCTCAACAATAAAATATTTCATTTGCATTTTCTTAGGATTTGTTCATCGACATTCAACATATTGTTTACATGTTTACGTTACGTTTGTCCCTAAAATCCCGCGAGATTTGTACATTTTCCGACTTTTTCACAAAAGAGCGTACTAAGAAGTATAAGTCTTCCATAGTGGAAATAGAAGGTATTGACCCTAGAAGAGCGTGCTAAAGCAGTCAGTATGGTGGTTCCTTTCGAGAAATTTGTAAAAATTTAAAACAAGTAAAAGATTATTCGTACCTCTAGTGAAAAAATTGTTGCAAATAGATAAACAAACATAAAAACGTTTACTACAGATAGCCACGGCATTCAGTTACCATCACACGACAATAATAAGACTGTTCCATAGAACTGAGGCAACCGGAAGTTGGGTGGACTAGGTATGGACATCGAGGCACTGTATGACCACTAGGCGATACGATAGTCAGTCGCTGTATATTATTTGATTTTTAACTGGAAGACTGCTTCTGTTGCAACCTAATGAACCACCATCGGTAATCAGCAACTTCAAATCTGGGCAAAAACTGTGCGCAGTGCACGCTGGGAAGTTGTTTTTTCGGGCAAGAAGGTTATTTAAGGGTCTTGTCATGACACCAGGACATTTGTCAACCCCACTGTATTGGAAAAGATGGCATATCTGATATACTAGCACCGATTATGCAAATGTTCAATTCACAAATAAAAATAACAAGTGGTGCGTAAGCAATTTTGTCTAGTGTATATCCTCTGTTAAAAGTATGCTTTTGAAGAGTGCAATTCTGTAGATGTCCATTTTACCGCCCGAGATTATTTTACGCTCTGTACGTGGGAACAATTTTTCCGCGGAAATTTGTCACAGCGTACTAAAAATGCATAAAGGACATGTAATGATAATCCAAGAAATCTGCATATTTTCATACTCGAGGGTTGAACAGAAATTGCGATTCTGCAACATAAATTACGGGTATGACCCTGTGGAGAAAAGTGCGTTTGCAGTAATTCTTTTTCAAAATTATAATGATTTGATGCACATCAAAGGAGGGTATCAGCTTTTACACCAATTGACAAGCTGAAGAAAAAAATCTCTTAATTCATTGACATTTGAATTACTATTAAATAGCATATTTTTACCGAGTTACCAAGTAAAGAGATAACGTCGATTGTCGTTATTACCGAGCGATAGCTAAGTATTCGATTACTAATTGATAATCCTAATTAAAAGTGAGATTAGGTTACTTGAACAGTCAAGTAACGTATTTAAAGGGAACGATGTCACCAATTAAGGTGCACTTTCATAGCTTGAACCGGCCGAGTTTGGAAATGAATTATTATGATTGTCCCTAGATTCTGTGAAGGCTTCAGTCCAATTATCCAACCAAGCCGAATTTCAGCGGAGATTAATCATTTGTCATATTTTGGAGTCGATTAAAATTTTAATTTTATTCGAATTTATATTTACCTAACCAGATATTCTGTTCTGGTGAACCAAAACCACTCTTGTATTCTGCCCAGTTCCTGTTAAAACTCAAAGAACCGTCTACTCTTCTTTGTATTACCTTTAAAAAGATATAAATTTATTGAATATTTTTTAAATAATTTATTTTGTGACGAAAGACACAGAATCGATTATATGTCCTTTCTTTCTCATATAATCTCTAAAACAACAACAACAAAAACAACAAAGTCATGTTCAATACAAGTGCCAGAGGTATTTTCATAAATAAAGAAGATACCGTCCATCCCCCGTTTAATGTTTCCATATCGCAGTAGACTCCGACTGGCTGGATGCGAGTCCCGTACGGAAAAATGTCGTATACACCTGAATTAAGGTGACCATTCTCAAGAATGTCCTTACAATCACTAGGAAGAACTGAAAAAAGTATGCTGAAATTGCATTTTGATGTACATTTTAAAGGAACGATTTTATTTGACAAGATAAAGACCCGCTCACGGGGTATCGTGCATCGCGGCTGCATGGAGGGTAATCGTGTTCAAAAATCCAGACTTGTAAGTTTGTAAATCCAAACTTGCAATCGTATCAGTTTCAAAGTCTACATATGTATGTAGGTAAATTCCGACATCCTAGCATATAGGTCTGAACATACAACTGTGTTGAATTTGAGTTTATACTATGAATGTGTATATTTTTGACGTTGTAGACTTCTTTTTTCGGAATCTTAATTGCCGCTCTCTGAATAAAACACAAAGACAATTCAAAAGTTTACAAATGTAAAGTCTACACGTTTGTCGAATTTTAATAATAAGAAACTATGGAGGGGCCGAAATTTTTTTTAAATTATCTTATTTTCTTTTTTATTTCTAACTTCTTGTTTTCCATATTAAATAATTTTTTAATATAAGTTCTTACTTCTTGTTTATATTTTCCAATTTATTTTATTTTATTTATTTTGATAATTTTGCTTCATTTCGTATTTTAATTATATCTTAAATTTTAAATTATTAAACATTTCTTGACACCCCACCCCCCCAAAAATCAGACATTACAGTTGAGGGGGCACAACGATAAATAAGCCTTGATTTCTTTTCTTTTGTATTTACCGGCAAAATTATTAAGCAGATACATACGGAAATTGCTTTATTTTCTATTGATAAGTATATACTGGCACCCTCACTAACTCGCTGCCTACGGACCGGGCCTCGGGGGCATAAAACTAAAGTGAGCTCATTTTTGACATCAGTTTCACTTTTCTACCTTTAATTCCTTTAGTGAAAGTGAGACTGAGATCAAAAGTGAGCTCGTCTAAGTTTAATGGCCCAGGAGCCTGGTGTTTAAAATAAGATAAATGTGACCGCCAAACTCAGGCAAATTCTTGCGTTGAAAAAAAAAAGTTGCTGAAAAGTAAAAAGAAAAATCCTATATATCACCTCACCCTCCTACGAAGAAGGAGGAGTTTTGGTAGTTTATTTATTTATTTATTTATTTTTTTTTTTTTGCTCGTCAACCTTTTTTGGAGCCCCCCCCCCCCCCTTTAAAAATGTTGTTACGAATCTGCATCTACTGAGTAGTTGTTTTTAATATGATATTATTGCAATTAAATTAGTTCTTAATTAATTGGAGCACTGATCACAATAGCTTAGTGGTTGGGCGCTAGCTTCGTAAGCCATGGGAGGTCAGAGTTCGATTGTCCGAAGTTCCTAATGCCGATCCAAACGTAAGATATTTAGCATACATGTAGGTCGTACCTATTCTTTCGGCATTGAAAGTCAATGATTTTTCAAGACCTGAATAAGGCAATAATCTGGTTGATTTAGAGAAGTGGTATACAATTTAGGTGGGAGAAGTGCCAGTAGGCAGTAGATGGTAGAATATCTTAACAATAATATAATTATTAAATCCCTAAAATATCGTTTGCTTTAGACTTTAAACATATCAGATATGATAAAAAGAAGGCGCCCATACTTTATCCACATTGGATAAACGACGCTTCCAAGACAAAGGACTCGGATCGATTGTGATGGGCACCATGCTCATTCTGGGAAAGGATATAGTTATCCACTCATTCCATTGCTGAGATTTGGTCATTTCTGACAAATGTACTGTTCTTGTTATAAAAAAAATAACTTGCATGGTAAGAAATACAAGACTCTGAAAAATCTTTTAGGTTCTGTGAACGGAACGCTTCGAAGCATGTTACTTGACCGCCTGGATCACGTGATTCGCGCATGGGCAGAACAGTGGCAGATGTGCATTAAAATTGAAGAGGATTACTTTCAAAAATAATGAACACAGAGACCTAATATTTTTATCATTTACGGAAATAATTCAATTAGTTAGACTTTTTGATCACCCCTTGTAAGTTACATAACTGATTCCATTTCCTTGGCAATTTTAATTTATATATTTATTAAAAATAACTGGTTTGATGAGTTTTATCGTCTTCAGCAGTACGTGCAAGAGGAACAAAGTGTTTAACTTTTTAAAAAAATGGGAAACAGTAATTCTAATAAATATAAAAAATAGAAGGAAACTAGAGCGAGCTCGTTGCAAAGCAACGAATAGGTCTTCCGTTGGAGCTGCGGAAGAAAGAAGTGACCTTGAGTCAAGGTCATGCCACATTCTAAAGTTATACATGTAAGCAATCTTGTAAGGGGAAGCAACTTACAATATTTCGCTAGGAAAAACTGTAAAGGAATGTATGTGACCTTGAACATTCCAAATGACCTTGCGTCAAGCCATGACACACTCTCGTCATAAAACCCAATCTGTGTGTTACCGACTTGAAAAGTTCACAGTGACACGTCATGTTCTTTTAGTCCATACATACAGTCAAAACATCTAATCCTTAGTGACCTTGAACTTGAGTCAAGGCCATGTCACACTCTGCATGATACCAGCAATGTTTCACTAGTACACAAATACGCTAGCGAAATTACAGTTTCTCTGTCAGTGACCTTGACTCGACCAAATGACCTTGGCCATAACACAATCTGGTTTAGAGCAATCCCAATCTGTGGGTTTCTGAATGGATAAGTTCAGCCATGTTTTTTCAGACCATACAGCGAGTTGGAATAATTTGTTAGGTTCAACTGAACACAATGATTTAAAAATTCATTGAGAATGTTTTATATCCAGTTTGGATAAGTAGTAAAACGTGGAGATCAGTCCTTTGGATGAGACCATATAAGGTCTCGTGTCGGGGTAAGTGCTAGCATGAAAATGATCTCTCATGCTATAAATTTTGAATTTACCGGGTGGCAGTAAATACAAAATTTACAACATGACATGTAAATTTTGTATTTACTGACAACCGGTAAGTTCAAAATTTACAACATGACAGATCCATGGCACTTGATTCTACCTCTGATTTCAAAAGATTTGCACTGCTCCTGATTTGTATTGTTTGAATGGTCTTTTAAGCTTGAATGCTGCACAGGTGCTTGTGGCCAGCCCCCCCCCCCCCCCCCCCCCATATACACCCTGGGTCCAAGAATATTTTTTATTCGTCTTTTTCCATAAATTAATCTTCTAGTACACATTTACAATGTATTCCATATGAAAAATCCAAAAAATAACGTAGAATTAATGTTTTATTAAAAAATCATACCCGTGGTATTACGAAGTAGAGAAGGTAAGTCACTTCCATTTGTTAACACCCCTCTTGGATATCGGGCCTAAAATATTATATACCTAACACATGTCACCAAAATATGTTATTATATCTTGTATCGGTAGACATTTTTTGTCTTTAATCGTGCTATTTAATTGCCTATGCATTCCACAATAATCCGAGTATTCATCGTCAAACGTAAAAAATGTAAGAGTTGGAAATGTCAAAGTAGAAATTATACGGAAGTGATGCAGAAACGACACCTAGCAGATAACTCTCGAGTTCCGAGTGTTACAGAATTTAGGGAAAAGCAATTTTGATAAAGAAGTCGAAATCGACTCATTAGAATTTAAATTTTGCTGCAGATTTTCCAGATGAATTAAGGTTGTCATCAATATTCTTTTTAAAGGATTTTATCACTCAAACCAAATAGCGTTTTAAAAACGCTTTCTAACTGCACTTAACCAGTTTGTACAATTTTCCTGTTGTTCTTCATACTCACATAACAATTGTTTATAACATGTCCGCAGAATGCAACTATTTGTATTGAGCAAATTACACCAATATTTCAGAATTCGAAGTTTTCTTTGAACATACATTGGGCATCTACCAAATTCGAAATAAAGTTATTTGTAGATTTTCGAAGCGACATAATTTTCTTCAAAAAGTTAATATGTACTTGCTCAACATGTGGGGCTTTATGAAATCCCCACATCTCGCATCCATAATGAAGAACAGAACCTACATATGTATCAAATAAAGAGAGAGTGGTCTCCACATTTAGATTATTCTCTTTCACTCTTTTCACAAAGGAAAAGTACATTTTTCCTTAACATTTTACCTGTGGAATGCTGATCATTTTCTCCGTATTCCATCGGCCCTTACTGCTCAAAGGCCGTAAGTACCATGTACATTATAAAATGTATAAATTTCCAGCCATTCACCATTTATATCCTATTAAAATTTTAATTCCATCTATTTTGTTAACATTAAATTGCTGGAAATATAGTCAAAAAATCCGGAATGAAAATAATAAATGTTAAAAGTGAAATTTATTAATTGTCGGAAGTGCAATGCAAAATTCCGGAAATCAAATGCACCGAAAATGGTACCTCCCCCCACCCAACGAAACTATTAGTACACACTTCGACGCTCATGCAATGTGCAATTGACCACTCCAATGAACACATTAAATCGTTACATTTTTTAAGTTTTAGAAATAAAATAAAAGACCTTAAAAAGTTTATAAAATAGGAAAGCTTAGTCACAGATATTAATCGTTGCAGACCTTGTTTTTCATTCATTTGAGGATTCGCGAATAACAAATGTCGCGTATGATTATTGGTTTACTTTAAAATACATGTAGGTTGTGGATTTCTCTCGGACCAGCCCTCACCTATATGTATACGTACCTGAACAAACCAACCGATTGACATTTTCGGCTCTAAAGAAAAACATTGTATTCTTTTAAGGGGGGGGGGGGTACGTATCGTGATTAGAGGAAATTTGATCACCTCTCAGTCCATTGAACATGAAAGATTATTTTGGAATATTTGCATACAACTGCGTAGTTTTCTTAGAACCAAATTAGTATAAATTTGTTAGAAAAATTAAATAATTATTTAGATGTTTAAGATTTGTGACATATTTGTAAGAACCACTTTATTTACCAAACAAAGTTTCATCCTTATATGGACGCCGTGATATATTTGATAAGCTGTTTAATTACTATTCGGATATATTGCCATTCAAAGGACCAACACTTTTTTTTTTTTAATTTGGATTAAAAGTCCGACAATTTTCAACCTCGTTTGCTATAATTTTACTGAATCGGATCTTTTTCCGTATAGTCGAAATGCATGGACGAAGGATAAAAAACCGTGTGCTGATCAATCAAAACATCATTGCGATTGTGTATTTAATTTATGGAGACATGTTTTTTTGTGTTTTTCCTTATCTGTGAATTACCCATTTGCTTTGTACACAAGCACGTGTATTCTGAAAGCTCAGGATGTATTTAGTTTGGGCGCTCTTCCATGTAAAACTGCATGTACTTACAAGCATGTATCCATAAAATCGTGTATTGGGATATTCTGTTTATTCGACGAAATAAAAGAAATGCATAAGTATATCATTCTGTACAATACAATTATAAGTTTGGTAGCAAATAATGCAAACTTAGAAGTGCTTAATTTAATTTTCGATTTTCCCGAGAATTGAAAACGTCACCTGACTCACCTCCACTTACAATTATTATGCATGTGTACATGCAGTTTAAAACATGAGACAGAAAAATAAATTGTTGCAAACCTAGTGGTTAAGTCGGCAATTAAAATGCATAAAACTTAAAATGAATAAATACACAGGCGGATAAAATAATGATAAAAATAAGCGTGAGATAGAGTGAAATAAAATAATATTTAAGATTTGAAATGATTTCAAACACAATTTTCCATTAATCGCTATGAGTACACATTGCATTTTAACTTCGATATGACCGCGGCTCGCTAATCTCTGCGGCCACGTGTGAACGACGAGTGGGTTACAAATTTTGAAGTTAAACACAGAGACAGAGCGGAATAAATTGTCTGCTGTAAGAAGGCGTGAATTATTGTATGTTTAAAAGTATTATTTTATGTATATAGTTTATTTAATATTAATTGAAAAATTTTGTAGTCTAAAAGCTCTGAAAATTTGTTCAACATACATTTTTGTAACACGCATATTTGTAATAACCACTTTATATACAAAACAAAATTTCATTCTCTTATATGGTAATATGGACGTCGTAATAGATCTGACTGAATGCTTGACATGCCTGTTTCAAAAACCTTTCCTAAGTTATGTCGTAAGACATATCTTAAGATATGCCTAAGTTATAACTTTAGAAGTTCCTCAGATTTATCACAGCTGTATCGCGAAACAATCTTATCTAAAAAAAATTTATATCATTTCTTAAGTTGTGCCTTTAAGGACTAATAAAATAACATTCCCGCTCTATATACAACTCTCAGTATGGTATATATTTTTAGATTCAAAAAGGAAGGGTGCAAGGATTGGGGATTGCCCCCACTTTTAAAGGATTTGGACACAAGTATGCTTAACTTTGCGAAGTGTGTTGCTAGATCTAAGCATTCACAGACACACCCTTTCAAGCCATCTTCCCTTCCGAGCACACGATATTTGTATTTTAATTTTTAAACATTGTTCTAGGTGTTATACATTTACTTTATTTTGTTCTTTATAAGGTATCTACATGTAAATGAAATTTTAAAATGAATGCTTCGTAGCGAACACATGCGAGTTTATATTTTTCAAACAATCTTTGCCAATTACTACACTGCATGTACACGTTAGTTGTTTGTGCGGTGTAGAGCAACAATGTATTTCAACATCGAGGTGCCCGCGGCTCTCTGTGGCACCATGTATGTAAACGAGAAACAAAGCGGCAGAGATGGATGAAACTGTTTGCTATATTACAAAGACTTGAATTATAGTACATGTATATTTGAAGGAATTTTTATTTATGTTAATGTTTATTTAATTTTATAAATAATAAATGGACATTCACAAGAGTGATGGTAAAAATAATATGTGCGTAGCATGCGTAGTAATTACAATTATTTACCGAAGCCCCCATTCAATTACAATTGCAGATGAATTAAAATACAACAACACGGGATAGAGCAATACTTTTTTTAAATGTATTGTTGCGTGAACAGACAAAAACAGCGATTAAAATTCAAAATGATTTTTATGCACCAGTGTTTGGAATTAAGATTATAAAAGATCGGTAAAGTAATCTTACTGATTCGATATAATTAAAAACATAACTTTCCATTAATTAATAGCTCTTTGTACAAAATTTACATTATACGCAATCACAAATACTAGCTTTGTTTATGGCCACAGGTGGCTAGTACACTGGTGACCTCGATCAACAGCGTGGGATTCGCGCGTTGGGTTACATAACTAAACATCGAGCTGAACATGGAGACCGTAATATGCATACAGCTAATGATCGTGAATTATTCAATGCATACAGTTTAAAATCACTTACAAAGTTTGTTGTAATAATAAACGTAGAAAGATAGATTTAATATTCTCCACTTTTGAACACTATTAATCTAATTTAAAAAAGAAGAAAAGAAAGACTAGTTGTAATAAATAATTTAATAGTGAACCATAAACCACGTTTTAAACCTTATTTAAAAGAAAATTAACATTAAATACCGCAGGGTATATTATTGATAGCAAGTCTGTTTAAGTTATACACATGAAGAGGTCTGATTTCCTTGCCGAATGAAAAACGTTACCTGTTTACCTGGCCTGCTTTCTAATACGTATTACGCAATACCCATGGTATACTCGAACAAAACAACATTTTCATTAGATCAAAAAAGTGTAAAAGAACAATTTTGTTCCCAAGATCCAGATCGAAATATTTACCGTTTTTGAGTTATAAAGCAAAAACTTTTAAGGGTCCAAGATCCCTAATCATAGGGGCCAGCCCCTTTTAAATAGTATAATATGAAAGCCCTTGCAATTATGCACAACTTTTGTTCTACATGTCTTAACAAAATATTTCTAGTTTTTAAGATATAAAGGAAAATATGTCAAATTTTTTGCTGTTTTCCGCGTTCTAACTTTTGACCCCTCTCTAGCGCCATTTTTAATGCAAAAATCAAAAAACAAAAACCGATGTGCACAACTTCAATGCTTCCTCTTTTCAATTTCAAAGGGTTTTGTGCTCCAATTATAACCATTTCTGAGCCTTTGTCTGGAAATGGGAGGCATGCAAAATTCAATCAAAGGGGAATAACTCGTGAACAGAAGGTAATTTCCGAATTGTATTACGGTATTCTGACAGTGTTATGTAAAGTCTAAAAGCTCTGAAAATTTGAACAAAATCTGTTTAGGAATGAGGAAGATATGAAGCGTCAAAGTTGGCGTCTAGGAAAAAAAAAAAAGAATAATAAGAACTAGAGCCGAGCTCGTTGCAATGCAACGAATAGGTCTTCCGTCGGAGCTCCGGACAGAACATAGCGACCTTGAGTCAAGGTCATGCTACATTTTAAGGTTATAAACAATCCTGTAAGGGGCATCAACTTCCAATGTTTCAACAGTAGAAAGACAGTAAAAGAATGTAAAATTCCCCTGTCAGTGAACTTGAACTTGTCCAAATAATCGTGCGTCAAGCCAGGACACATTCTGCAGCTGGTTAAGAGCAAACACCATCTGTATGTCATCGACAAAAAAAAATTCACAGTCACATATTCTTTCAGACTATTCATCCAAAACATCATATTCTAAGTGACATCGAATTTAAGTCAAGGCCATTACACACTTTGGATGATATATTTATCATCTTTTCAGTGAAATGCAAATGCATGCAATTTTTTCTATTACAAAATTAAAGACCTTCTTGTTTGTTTGTTTGTGTGTATGTTGTTTAACGTCCCTCTCGAGAATTTTTCAATCATGTGGAGACTCCACCATATTTGCCGATGGAGATCTGCAAATTTTGACCTATACTCGGCACTCATGGCCACTGAACAGTGAAGGATCTTTTTCGTGCCAGCACCTACTGCCAGACGGGACTTTAGTTTATACGGTCTCATCTGAAGGATCGGTCTCTGCGTCCCATAGTGGGATTCGAACCTGCGACATAAGGATCAACTCCTTAATCCACGACTCTAGAGGAGACACTCTTACCACTGCGCCACGTGGGCGACTAGACCTTTTTGAATTTTACACTTATTATATCAGTGACCTTGAACTTGCCTAAATGACCTATTTTAAGGTCAAAAACAACCTTTGAACTAATTATGAGCTTCCAGTGATACTCAATGACCAAGATATTCCTGAAAAAGAA